GGGTTTTTCGCGGGAAAGTCGCCGCGAGTTTGAGAGACACGCGATCCAGGTGATTTCAGTGCGTCCCTGACTTCAATCTGCAACCACCGGATGCGGACGTAATGTGGTAAGAAGAAGTCTGGCCTGGGCGAAACACGAAGAGCCCGAGCGCACGCGAATCGATCTCCCGACGCGTGCATTCACAAGTCGTTAACGAATCTTTCGCCGCGCTCCACTATTATACCTTTCGTTCGTTCGTTCACCGGCTCGCTCGTTCCATTTCACTTTCCCCCCTGACGGCGAGCCAGTCGCGTAACACGGTAGAGCTAGCTCGATTCGAATCGATCCAATTAAGTTGTCTACCGACTTTGGACATCGTTGCATCTAACACGGGAATAATCCGGTGTGTTTCGCTCCTCGCAGAATGTCGTTCCGGTCTTCGGTGTCGTCGCCGTGCTCGGAACCGTACATCGGCCCGAGCCTAGGACAATCATGCCCAGGCTCACAGTTTCTCACCTTCATGACCCTTCTGGACACGTACATCCGCGCCAAGGACGACATATCTCAGCTCTGCGAACGAGTCAGGCCGGTCGATCCGCCCGCGTACCAGTACGACTACATCGTCGTCGGCGGTGAGTATTCGACAACACCACGATCAATTTTGCCGCGCGTCTCTCCGCACGCTAATTCCAATCGAAGCGCGACCGACTCAAATTTTCACACATTTCACCCCGAAATACTGTAACGAAAGCAAATGGCTTTCGCTGAATGATTTACGCCAGCGCGCGCCTCTATGCGTCGCTCTGTACCACCAGTTCAATTATTAATGCCACTTTCTCATCGTTCTCGTGCAAACAAGCTAATATAATAATAGGCTTTAATGAAAGAAGAACCACAGCGAAACGTGAATTATTCAACGACATCCGCGGATCAATTCGTGCAACCGACGTTCCTCCTTGTAACGTACGAAACGAGGCGTTACACAAAACGTCGTCGATTCTCACGCAGGGATACGTGTTTCTTTTTTTTTCTTTTCTATCGTTCCGCGGAAATCCATCGAGTCGTGGAAAGTCACTGCAACCTGTGTTGCAGCGACTGTGCGCAACTGTATTCTAGAACGGTATTCGTTTACTCGCGCGATTGATTATTCAGTTGGAATAAGCAGCGTTGCTCGGTATGTCTTTGCTTAAAAAAGAAGCCTGTTCTACGACACGAGATGCGCCAACTGGAAGAAATTTAATCGACGTTGATTACGTTTGACTGACGGTTATCGCGAGTGAAAGGAAGATTTGGAAGTTTACTACGTATACCGAAATGTATTCGTATCGAACTGGAAACGTTTCCTGCAAGAGGACTCGAAACTGGGTCAACGACCGATGCGCGCTCCTTCGTCCAAGAAACGACCGATTCAATTTAATTCGAGGGAAATATTACGGTACGATTGCGGATAAATGAACGAACGAAACAATTTTCCAGAGCCGTGGAGAAGCTCTGATATTATGCAGCTTTAAAGGATATTCCGGTTACGATGGTACACGACAAAAGTGGTCGAAGGGGGACGCGAAAGCAGAAGCTCCCGCGGAAAATAACAAAGTTTTATTAATCTTTTTACAGCGGGGCATTAAGTATACCGTTGAAAAGAAAATACGGCCGGGGATATAATACCAGGGCGGGGGGGAAATGTAAAAATCGAAGGAAGGAAAAGAAGAAGAAGAAAGAGCATCGCGGAGCGTAATGAACGTTGACGGGCGAGGGTGTATCTACTAGGCAAGAAACAAACGGTGTCTTAGCATTTTCTGAACGGGTGTAATTAGTAAAGTTCGACGACAAGTTAGCTCGTTACGAGCGAAACAAATGACCGCGTAACTCGTCCCGGTACGCTTAACAGTAAGGTTAAGGAGGATAGGAGTTTGCCGTGCTTCGAGCGACGCGAGGGAAAAAATAATCTCGTAATTGGATATTTTGCGAGCCGGTGGCGAAACGTTCGCGTAAATCCGCAGGGGGAGAGTATTACGGGCGAAATTAATCCATCCCTGTGTTCTCTTTTCGCGCCTACCTTCCCCTCGGCGGGACTACCAACGTCCCTTTTTACGATCGCGCCACTTTTCCCTTCGTCTCTTACCGCCCTGTGTCACGTTCTCTCGATAAGAATTGAAATCGACGCGAAACGTGTCGAATTTTTCAACGATACACGTCACGTTCGATAACAAGTTGATTGGCAAATCTCAATAAACGATACCTCCACGTAGACACCTGGTGGTGCGTTTGCTTATCGGCGAAGGTGGATTGATGTTTCACACTTGGTGCACGTTCGCGAAAATCGGACGGCCACGTGGATTAAATTACGCAACGTTAACAGATAGGCAATCGTATCGCGAATTGTTTCGACGTCGACGCAGGCGCGGATAGAGTGAATTTTTTCCCGCATTTTACGACAACTTGTATCGACACGAAAAAGTGGCTCGGGTGAGCAGAGGTGTTGCAACAACGTGCGCCAACGTGGTCGAAAATTGGGCAAAGAAAAGTTCAATTGGCTCTCCGGCCAGCTGACGGAACGCGTGCAACGCGAAATAATTGCGTGTATTTCTGAACCAAGTGAAAACGGCGGAACGATCGGACAGCGTCGCGTCGCTGCGTTCCATGGAACGGAACGAGAAACGTTTTCAATCTCCTGAAACGGCATTTACGCGTAGTATACGCGGTGGTCAAACAGAATTCTCGCGAATCTGAGCGGAACGTGATCGTGATTCGCCGATTATCATGGTGGAAGCGAATATTAATACGAAGGAATTTCAATTCTCGTCCCGTGTGCCACGTTCGAGGGTGAACGTGTAGAAATGGAGAAAGAGCATCGACACGAGGCGATACGCGGTGGTCAAACAGAATTCTCGCGAATTTGAGCGGGCCGTGATCGTGATTCGCCGATTATCATGGTGGAAGCGAATATTAATACGAAGGAATTTCAATTCTGGTCCCGTGTGCCACGTTCGAGGGTGAACGTGTAGAAATGGAGAAAGAGCATCGACACGAGGCGATTAAGAGCGTTTGATCCGGCGATGAAGTTGTAGGGAACTGTCGTCAATGGCGATTCGCTCCAAGGCTACCGACCGCAAAAGGGAAACTAGCTTTTTTTGCGAATGCTCGGCAGAGAGTACAGGCGACAATCTAGCACTCGGTTTATCGAACAATATCATCGAGAACTCGGCGAGGAAACGGTAGAGCGAACCTTTTACCGATTCCAACTATCGCCCGCAGGAAGTTGCCGCGGAAACCGTGATACTCGCGTTACATAAATAAAAAGGGAAAAATAGGAAACCGGTTCCTTTCGAAGAGACAGAGTAATTAAGGCTAACGATCGAATCTGGGTTATTTGTATCGAGTAGTGTACCCAACGCCTCGGGAAGAACGGTAGAAAATATGCATTTCGCCAGGCTGCGCGCCATATACCGCGAAAACATTTTATGGTCCGGCGAGTATGCATTTGCATAATCTCGCGGAATATTCAGCGTATCGCACGATGAAAATGTTATTTGCTCGCTGACACTTTCCTCGATTATACGCAATTTTTCGGATTCTTTTTCTCCCCCTCCCAAAGTGGGGAAGGGAGGAGCATCGATGCGCAGATCGGTGTGAAATTTCTGTTGGACGTTGATCGAACTAGGTTGATCTCGTCTAGCGAAAACGCAACGGAAAAGACAGATACATACGCGAGATAAAGGGGTGTTGGCCGAACGGCTAAAGTGTCTACACGGTATCGTAGAGCGATAGGTATACCTAACCATAAAGATAGAAATCGACGAGCGAAATAAGCGGCTAAGTAGACTCCTGTTGGAACAATGTAAATAACATTGCACGTTGGCTGACGTCGGGAAGAAGTTTCGCGTACGGTCTGGGGAAGGAAAACGGAGCGCGTATACATATGTATATGTATCTGGTTTCTCGGGAAAACGTAAGTCGAGTCGGTGGGATCGCGGCTGTACGCCGCGCCGCGGGCGACGTAAATCCGGTCGGGGAATCGAGGCGAGGGAAGAATAACCGCGTCCGATCCTACGAATCTATCTAACGATCCGCTCCTTTCGGCGCGGTGGCCCCGTATAATGGATCGCCGTGCCGGTTGTGCAACGCGAGTGTCGAGAACCGTTTTCACCTGCTGATCTCGCGCCGCTATAACAGCAACGCGCTCACGTTTGCGGGAAATCACGTAGAACGCTTCTCCGCAAGAACGTGGCAACTTCTTTTCGCCAGATTTACTTCTATCGGGAACCGGGTGACGAATTGCAGGATCGATAACGCGATCTGGTTCTCTCTCTCTCCCTAACCGAGTCGACGCAGTCACGTACACTTCCGACTGCTCTACATCCAACGGTGCGTTCTCTTCCCTCTCCTCTTTCTTATCTACCGAGCATCTACTCGCGTCGCATTTTCGTGGCTAGTTTTTCTCAATGAATCGATCGTGAGGCAAGTGGACGGGAACCAGGGCAAAAAGAATAACGAGCGAGTCGCAATCCGCGGGGCTTACTTTCCGCGCTATTGCGCGCGATCGGTCGAGCCAGTCCAAGTGTATTGTACCAGCTCGACGGCTATCTCTTCTGCGATTTCATCGAGGATATTCGACGATGCGCCGATTAAACGGCCAACTAATTATCTTCGCTGTTCACCTAGCCGCGATACCTTTGTCTGCGCGGACGATAATCTTTGCGGATCGTTTCGACGCATGGGAATTTCTGCGCGGAAAACGAACGCAAACAAAACGCGAAAGCAAGGTAAAAGTGATTTTTACGCAAGATAGCCCCAGCAACGAATTCAACAACTGCCAACGAAAAAGCAAGCGGTTACACGTTCGAAAGAAACTTGGCGGCATACGCAGTTCCATTATTTTAATCTTCGCTTCCACGGTTAAACGAAACAACGTTAAAACATTAACTAGTAAAAGCATCAGGCCGATGACACGGTTAATTAATATTTTGCAAGCGCAGCGAGCATACTGCACGTTTTCGAGGAGGAACGACGAACACTGACACTAATTAATCTTCCAAAACGTGAGAATTCGTAATTACTACCCATAAATATCTCGCTCGCGACGTCAGTCTAAGAGGGTTACATACGTTTTGTATAGTTTAGGTCCGAGCCAAAGATAAAACTACCGCAAACTTGCTTGTCGCTTATTATAAATATTTACACAAGCTTTTCCCTCTCTTTCCGTTGAATATTACAGTCGATTTTTTACGCGTGATAAGACAGCAACGCGGCAAGTCGTTTAGTTTCCTCGAGCATTATCGCCTCCACGAAGGATATTCGTATCGAAAATGAATAACTTGCACTTGCATTTCCAAGTTTAGTGGGTTGGGGAATACCGCCGCTATCTTGACACGACAGTTACCATAATCATCGTTCGGTCTTCAGCGGCATGGTTTATGACACGACCGTCAGGCACGGCTATTTCTGAAGATTAGGCCTTTCGTTAGCTCTTGCATCTCATAAAACATCCTAACGGGGGTCGCGAAATTGTACTTTTTAGTGACTCTCGCCCTCGATAGTATTTGGCATTGAGGTGCGCTGATTGGTAATTCGGTGAATTTAGAGAAACCAATCAGGATTGGTTACCAATTAAGCTTTTTAGTCGGCACACCACGTGCAATTACTACAAGGCTCGACGTAATATAAATCACCACGCGAGCATTAACATCATTTTTAACCACGTCACAACGCGAACGCGCTCCTTTTTTCGAAAGGAGAGTATCGTGGAAACAGGATCTCGTGTCCGTTCCCTTTTTAGCGAAGAAAGTACCGATTCGCACTTTCCCGCGACTCTCCTCGTTACCTAGGCCTGAATACGCTTGTACGTAGAGAGAAGTCTACGTGCGTCACGTGTAAACGAAAGTGAAACACTGCATGATATAATTACTTTTACCTGTTGGCACATCATGGCCAAGGCCTTATCGAACCACTTTCCAGCCTGTTCTACCGCAGATTTCTTCGCGATCGGCGCACGCCAGGCCCGTGTGAAACAAGTGCCGTACGAAGCTGGTTAAAGCGGTTCCGATCGATAGTCGAGCAATTGCGTGATAATTCTTTTCCACAATTCTCCTGCAGGAGGGACAGCAGGTTCAGCGGTGGCATCTAGACTCAGCGACCATCCGGAATGGAAAGTGCTTGTGCTCGAGGCTGGCCCAGACGAGCCACCTGGTGCCGATGTACCCAGCATGGTGGCCATGTTCTTAGGTACGACATATCTTTACTCCCGTTTAGAAGTGAAAACTAATCGATCGTCTCGAGAAGAAAAAGAGGAAACGACCGTTTTTTACAGGCACGGCTCTCGATTGGCAATACCTAACCTCGGACGAAAAGAACGCGTGTCTCAGCACGGGCGGATCGTGTTACTGGCCACGAGGCAAGAATCTCGGTGGTACCTCGACTCACAACGGTATGATGTACATGCGTGGACACGCGACAGACTACAACAACTGGGCGAATCTGGGGAACAAAGGATGGTCTTGGGAGGAGGTGAGACTGGAAATCGGAAAGCGGGGCCATGCGTAAAAAATCAAACTAGATAACGCACGTGCGTCGTTACTCGAGAATTGCGAAAATCAGATCGCGTGTAGTTAATTAGAGCGATTTGCCAATCCGAGTCTGTCTGAATCACGCTAATAACTTTTTGCCTCATTATAGGTCTTGCCGCATTTCATGTGCTCCGAGAACAACACGGAGATCAATCGCGTCGGTCATAAATATCATTCGACCCACGGATTGCTCAACGTCGGGAGGTTTTCTTGGAGACCCGCCATTGCCAAAGACATCCTAGCCGCGGCGGCTGAGAAAGGATACCCGATCTCCGAGGATCTGAATGGAGATCAGTTCATCGGGTTCACTGTTGCTCAAATGATGAACAAGAACGGCGTTCGTCAAAGTTCCGCAACCGCTTTCCTCAGGCCACTTCGTTACAGGCGGAACCTTCAAGTCGCTCTCAACGCTACCGTCACTAAGATCTTGATCGAAAACCAGAAAGCGGTCGGCGTTCAGTATTATCAAGTTAGTATACGCCCCTTGGTAGACAGGTAGAGAAAAATGCTCGCTCAACAGATTAATATTACGTATCGAGACGGTGAAAGTAAAGTGTTGTCACAGTATCTCATCCGAGTATCTCTTTTGAATCCTCACCTAAATCGAAAGGAAAGGAAAGGAAAATACGAGTGTATTTTCAGCACGGAGAACTTCGTGTCGCGCGTGCCTCTCGCGAGGTAATTGTCTCTGGCGGCGCTGTCAACTCTCCTCAAATCCTACTGCTCTCTGGAATTGGACCAAAGGAGCATCTCAAGTCCGTGAACGTTACAGTTGTTAAAGATCTTCCTGGTAAGCGCGGTGTATCTTATACGGTATTCTTCCCTACAGATCTAATCCACAATTTCTATACTTACATACGTGTGCCCAGGTGTTGGTGAGAATCTACACAATCACGTGTCGTACACGGTGCCGTTTACCATAAACGAGCCAAACGATGTTGACCTGAATTGGGCGGCGGTTGTCGAGTATATCGGGTTCCAGAAGGGACCGATGGCGGCAACCGGTCTCTCCCAAATGACGGGAATCCTTCCTTCGAGGTACACTACGCCTGATCATCCCGATCTTCAATTCTTCTTCGGGGGATACCAAGCAGCTTGCAGCGCCACCGGAGTGGTGGGAGCTCTCATGGACAACGGACGTCGCAGCATTAGCATATCGCCGACAAATATCCATCCGCGTAGCAAAGGTATCGTTATGTATACATCTATGTAATTATTGTTCTTTTTGACTAGTAAGGTCTCCAATTTCGCAGCAACGCACAAAGTGGATCTGCTTACGTTCCAGGATCCCTTCGACTGGCCAGCAACGATCCTCTAGCAAAGCCCATAATTCACGGGAATTATTTGACCGATCCTATGGACGCGCGCGTCCTCATAGAAGGAATCAATATAGCCTTATCCTTGGCCAATACCACTGCTATGTCGAAACATAACATGACGCTCAGCCACACGCCTCTACAACAGTGCTCGCAGTATCGGTTCCTCAGTGACGATTACTGGAACTGCGTTATACGTCAGGATACTGGTCCAGAGAATCACCAAGCAGGCTCCTGCAAAATGGGCCCGGCCAGCGATCCAATGGCTGTGGTGGATCATCAACTGAGAGTCCACGGTATCAAAGGATTACGAGTAGCTGACACTTCCATTATGCCTCAGGTGATTCACGTTTTCGCCTCCTTCTCTCTTTCTTTTTTCGCTGACTGCATAGAGAAGACTAACAAGTACGCGTTTTATGTTCAAAGGTGGTGTCCTCTAATACGGCCGCTCCAGCGATCATGATCGGCGAGAGGGCAGCCGCGTTTATTAAGTCCTGCTGGGGTTCCAGCCCGACACATTGGTAGGGGCATGGCCCATCCGGTGTATCGAAAAACTCAGAACGAAATGGAATGGCCATAAATAGTCACTAGAATTTGCTATGTTTCCTAGTTTCCGTTCCACGGTCGAGAACTCGCTGGATTTATTACTTTGGGGGATCAAATACATCGACTGGGACCAGGACGCCTGGTAGCCAAGATCCTCGTCCGATCTAGTCCATGATCTGGCGGGTTCACTTTCGAAAGGAAATTATGCTGCCGAGATGCCAGCAGCGTAACGTCACCAAAGAGACGACTTTAAGGGACGCGAGCACATCTCTGCCTCTCTCTCCCGGTCGCTGTGATCAAGTCGATCGAGAACGTGGAACGGAGAATCAATCAACGCCGATGCTTAGTTAATACAATTAATTTTTCCTTTTTCGTTCTTTCTTCCTGCTCTTCCTTTTTGCCCGCGATACGATGCCCCGGGAGTACACCGAGTTCGTCTTACGCGAATTTACATACGTACATACGTACACCGATACAACCAGCTCGGAATAGAAGCGTTTATGGCAGCTCGCGATGTAACGCGATTCCTGACGTCGTTCCTTCTTTACGCCACCCTGGATGAAAGACTACGCTGTTTTTAGAACGATATACGAATCCCCGTAACCTGTGCCTTAATTAAAACCTGCTTATCAATCTTAATTGGCTGCTATCTGTGTCTGTACGAAAATAAATTGGCAAAGACTCGTCGACAGCTTTTTACACACAGAGAGACATTTATGGCTATCTTACCGGCAATTGTCATACATCGTTTTATCTAATTTGGGAATGGTCACGATTATGTCTAAGCAAGTGAGCCCACGTGCTCAGAAACGCAGCACGGCGCAAACCGATTACCTTATCTTATTGTATCAATGATTAAAGTACGTATATTATATAGGTGTATACCAAAGAAATGTAAATGATAAATACCGAATTAGAACCAAACGAATAAATTCAATTATATCTTAATTTACTTCGCCTATATTTTCTCTGCCTCCTCCTATCTTCGATCCCTGCTTGCATTTACGTTCGATTCGATACTTCTACCACTTACAATCGGAAACTTGAACAAGAGTTTGCAAGCGACTTCTTGCTAAGGTTCTTCTTTTACAATATTCATTTATTGTGCAAAGTGCCTCTTAAAAATTATAGGTGCGGTAAACGTAACTGCACATTATGTTGATTTACTAACGTTTACTAATCATTTTTAAGAAATACCTGTTTTTCCAGTTATACTTCCCCTATGTTTATTTCGGATAAAAATAATTTCACCGCGATAACAACCACTTTTCACCGGCAATAAACGTGCACTTTATTTTGTCGAAATTAGAGAGCCACGTTTGTAATTAAGAAAAAGTTTCGAACGTATTAGCCATGCGTTTAACTTTTCGCGGTCCAAATGGTCCAGTTAGTCCGCACTCATTTGGTCCACCATGTAGTTTCCCTGTATTCCAATATTTCAGCGTAACAGTAGTTGTAATATTAATGCATAAAAAGATACTTCATTATCATTTATAATTTGCCAAAAATTCTTACGTCAAGTCCGAATGGTACCTACTGAATAAACGACGATGATAAGAAAAAAAAGTCTGGTAGCACGGTGTTTTTTTATTCCTTGAAAATTACGCAAAATACCCTAATCTTTGATCCCCCACTTGACAGACCCTTCGTGTCATTCGTCACTAGTGGGTGGAAACTTTATCTATAGTTGAAACTTCTATTCACCTCCCTCCTTATTCTATTCTCTTCCTTATGTTTCATGACGCTCAAATAATTCCACGAATATCACTGTCAGTGATGCATATGATATAATAAGTAAACACGATGCTAAATTAATAACAAATTAACCTTGCAGATAAGAAATGCCTTCGTCATTGTCCAATTGATGTCACGTAGCTCATGTTAGGCTCGAGAAAGTTCCAGGGCCTAAGTGAATAAGATAGTAAAGGTACTTACAAGGGTGATAAATAAACACTACAACTACCGACCAGGTCAAAATGATCCATTAGTATCTTTCGAAAAAATGCTTCTACACTTTTCAACTTTGCAATTTTCCAATTACGGTTTACTTACATGAAACTTCACTTTTGGAAAGTTGCTAATGGGAGTCATTTTTACTCGGCTGGCAGTTAGTCTAGTGTTAACGTCTTCTGTAAACAGGAAAAAGTCCCGCAGAAAGAAGAATGTAAAAAATATCCTCTTCGACATACTCTATCGATAGGGAACATTTTCGAAACACTTTCATCTCATCGTTCCTATAGCTAGTTTCAACCCTTTGCGGTCCTATGTCGAGTCAGACTCGACGTAAAAATGTTTGCCTTCAGATATCATACAACGATGATGAACCATTCTTTTGACGCGTTAGTATTATATAGTATTTTATAACTAATATTACGGTGAAATATTGAAATAAAGGGAAACTAGAGTGACCAAACGAGTGCAGAACAACTGGATATCGTACAACTATGTAGAGAGATATCGAAATTTGATCTGACAAGTCCAGAATACGCAGCCTTTGCATTAAATTCATTTACAAGAAATTTTATCACCTAACAACAACGATAATTGATATTTTACTCGCCAAAATATCGCAACTAATAATTAACTTTTACGATAGGACCGTTGGAATTATCGTCGAGGAGGCGTGATCGGGAACCTCTTCCTCTTTCAACCACACGCGTGCGCTATCGTTCTTAATGTTTTTGCGACACACCGTTCATCAATACAGCAAAACGTCAGATAGTGGTGGACAATAATTTGCAAGTACGATTGCGTTATCGATGGTACGTAGGTGTTCTAAAAAACTGTCTTCTTATCATCTTTATGCATATTTGCTGTATAAAGGTACGAGTATAAAAGGGAGTAGCAGGAAGCAGTTGGTAGCCATTCGAAAAAGACCAAGCCCACAGTGCACAGTCTTCCAACGTATAATCGACCGCTACCCTATCTGACGACATGGTAAGTCAAGCATTTTCATCTTTTCCTCGTACTAGTGCGAACGAGATCTTTCGTTTCAGGCAAATGTGTCAGATTTCTCTATACCGCTGCCAGTGTGCGCGAATCCCTACATAGGAGGACCTCAGCTTACCGACGTCTGTTCGGCAAACACGGGCACTTTGTTCTTGACGTTGCTCAACACCTTCATGATAACAAACATAAAGATCGGTGAGATATGCGGGCGTTTCACGCCGATCGACGAACCGGAGGAAAGCTACGATTTCATCGTCGTTGGTTGTGAGTTTATGTGAAAAAACTTGGCCGAACGATCTTTTCTATCGAGTCCGATTTCTACGTTTCCCGTGAAATTACAGCTGGAGCGGCTGGATCTATCGTGGCTTCGAGATTGAGCGAAATCGAAGACTGGAATGTCCTCTTGGTCGAAGCGGGCGGGGATGAACCGGCAGGAAGTGAAGTACCCAGTAATCTGCAACTCTTCCTCGGTAATGAATTTTTGTTCACGGGGTGGAGATTAGGGTGAAAGCTATCATCTCTCTGTAACTTGTCTACAGGTGGTAAGTTGGACTGGCAATATCACACCACGAACGAAAGTTACGCCTGCTTAAGTACGAACGGAAGTTGTTACTGGCCTCGAGGTAAGAATTTCGGAGGATCAACTCTTCACCATGGTATGGCGTATCACAGAGGACACGCTAAAGATTTCGAAAGATGGGTCGAACTGGGAAACGAAGGCTGGGGCTGGGACGACGTACGTTTGCTTTTATATATCTGCTTTATCGTTACCGGCATCATGTCGTCCACGTTAAACGGATTTTAGGTGATGCCGTACTATCTGAAATCTGAGGACAACAGGGAAATTGGAAGAGTCAGCCCTAAATACCATGCCACTGGTGGACTTATGACTGTCGAAAGGTCCGTTCATTTGGAATCTTCTCTACTTGAGAAACAGCCAGTGATACAAGTGAGATTGTTTTTATGCCTACAGATTCCCCTATCAGCCTCCTTTCGCATGGAGCATCTTGGATGCAGCGGATGAAGCAGGTTTCGGTACGACCGAAGATTTGGTCGGTGAAAAGATCACCGGTTTCACGGTAGCACAAACCATCAGCAAGGACGGTGTCAGGGAAACCCCCTACCGTTCATTCGTCGAAAGATTCAGGGACCGTAAGAACCTCCACGTAATGGACAACTCGCTTGTCACAAAAATTAACTTCAACATGAACAAAGTGACCGGTGTGGATATACTGAGGGTTAGTTATCGCCTAGAATTCCGATCTCTTGGAAACTGTTCAAGCGTCTAATCACTATTGCCCGCAGAACGGGACGAAATACCGCGTGAACGTAAAACGCGAAGTAATCGTGTCCGGTGGTGCCATCAACTCTCCCCAATTGTTGCTGTTGTCTGGAATCGGACCGAAAGAGCATCTCGAATCGAAGAACGTGCCCGTGGTGCACGATCTTCCTGGTGTCGGTGAAAATCTTCACAATCACCAATCTTTCGGAATCGATTACGTACTGGACGAAGACTACTATTCAGAGTTGAACGAGAAGAGCGCTAACCAGTATATATACAACCAAACAGGACCACTGTCTTGCACAGGTTTAGCTCAGGTCACCGGTATATTGGCGTCCAACTTGACAACCGCCGACGATCCAGATATCCAAATATTCTTCGCTGGATACCAAGCTGTGTGCAACCCCAAGGAGAACATCGCCGACTTGGGCGTTCACGGCAGCAAACAGTCTGTGAGGTTCACATCCGTGAACGTGCGTCCAACCAGCAGAGGTGAACTTGCTTCCGATTTCACAATTGAAGACACTCTTTACTCTCTTTCTCACACGTATCGTTGAAATTCTGCTCGCACAGGTCGCATCACTTTGAACAGCAACAATCCACAAGATCCACCAATTATCTGGAGTAACGACATGGGAAACGAACACGACCGCAACGTAGTAGTCCAGGGAATCCACGCCATTCTTAAACTAGCTGAGACCGAGACGATGAAGAAACTTGGTCTAACGATGCAGCACAAGGTGATTCCACAATGTGCCGAGAAGAGCGAACCATACACCGACGAATACTGGTTGTGCGCCGTTACCTACGACACGAGACCCGAGAACCATCAAACTGGTAGCGCCAAGATGGGTCCGAAATCTGATCCAATGGCGGTCGTCGACTTGCGACTCAGAGTATACGGTGTCGAAGGATTGAGAGTTGCCGATGCGTCTGCTATACCAATTGTACGTTTATCCTTTCGACTATTTTCCAACGCTTCGTCGAGTAAGTATCGTTTAATTTGCCCGGTTTGATCGACAGGTGGTGTCCGGTAATCCTGTTGCCTCTATCAACATGGTCGGCGAAAGAGTAGCGGACTTCATCAAAGAAGACTGGGGAGTGAAGAACTAGGGAGAAAATATTGCCATGTAAAAAGCGGACGTGTAAATGATGTCGTTCGTTTCACGCGACTGACATACCTGGTGTCTAGTATTAACTCTAGCTAATATATGTACATAGGATATATTGCAATAAATTATACTTGATCAGATAATCACGTTTCCCTTGGCAAACCCTTTTGATCAAAGATTCAAACGACACACGTACGGTCTTGATTGGAAAAGTTGCCGCGCAGAAATTTCATTCGGCTCGATTACGAAATGGATCGCGCGCGGTTGCCTCGCCCGCCATCTTGGTATACCTAATAGAAGTTGAGTTAGTTTGGAAGTAGGGTCGAGCGTTATAAAAAGGATAACGATTATAAGCCCGAGTGACTTAAGTTATTCTGTAAACGGTGCTGACCAATTCGGGTCGGTCGATATAAAGCGGGCCGCGTTCTCCTCGTCAAACAACCGAACTCGAAGACTTTAAAGCCCCCGTGATTCCGCGAGGATCTCCAACTTCTATCCTCTTCTCCTTCGAAAACGAATATTTACCTTCGCCGGAGGAGAGGCGTACGCTCGTTTGAGAGCGCCGCAGACGACGCGACGGGAGGGCGAGTTTTGGCGAGAAAGGGTCGCAATCGGTTA